TTGTTTTAAACGATTCGTTGAATACTTACAGTTACTAGTGAAAACTCCCAGTCCAAATAGAATGAGACTTCTTCGAATAATCTTCTTCAGTACTGTAAATGGTTTAAGCTTCTTTCGAGCGAGTGATTTGAACGACAGAGTAATAGACACGCCCATTATCCAAATAAACCTAGAATACAAACAATATGTTGATTGATAGATTGATTGATAGATTGATTGATAGATTGATGGATGGGTGAATGGATGAAGTGGGACTAAGCGAGAAAGGCAGAGAGAGAGTGTGAGCTGGATGCACTTAAAAGTCAGTCCATAATCACACATGAGCGTTGCCAAAAAACCTTGGACCATAGGTGATTATTTGTCTCCACCTAACATTTTCTTTTCTTTTCTTTTATCACGTTCTTCCTCATARCCACCTTTTATCAATGTTGGTTCTTGTTTTGGATGCTTGTGTACTATGGTAACATACTAAATGACAACGTTGCATTTAGGCAGCGGCATGGGAAGGGCGTGAAAGTTTCCGCGCTGATGTTCCTTAAAATAAGGAAATTCACTCGAATTGTCCAAGGATTTTGGCAACGATTGAAGCCTTTATAACASATTAATGAAGTTGCATGTTTTAAAAATTATTCTGACCACGTTACCATGGGAAAATGAGATCGGCAAAGAGGAGACCTACAAGCAAAGTCAAAATACAAAGCTTAGTCACCATAATACATGAATCATGTTGCGTTACTAAGTCAAAGTGACACAAATTTACAAATAACGCAAGTTCTAAAGAAGTTAAACGTGTTTTACAGGATTGCACTTCTTAGCTTCTGTTGTATTGTAAAAAAAATTTTGTATGCCAGAATTCAATTATAGAGTAAGGCGACTTTTAACCGCTTACATCAGCCATAGYGTAAAAGGACAAATATAACACTGGACACAAAAACAAAACAATCATAAATTTGTAATAAAAAACAACAACACCATCTAAACATAGTTAAAACATAACCAGTCCCCTCTAATAACTATGATCTAAAGAATCGATGGTCGATCCAGCTAGTTGACGCACCCCCTTGAGAACACGGCATCTTTTAACACGTGGCACCAAGTATATCTTGTTGCTACTCTAGAGTTGATACTTTAAGACCAGAAGTCATTTACAAACAATTACTGCAAGTGTACGAAACGATAAAGAAAATCAACAATATAAAATCTTCTAAACATTGACTATTCGAGCCCGTGTAATTATGGACATTTCATGCAAAAGCTACAAGTCCACCCATACATACTCTATATGTTTCACTTCAGCCTCGAAAATGTTTATTCTGATCAGTTTGTTACATTTATCAGCAATAAAACATTTGATTCCTGTTACCACCCACAAACTCACCATTCCAGTCAGCGTGTCCAAAGAAATAATATCCACCATGACCAAAGTTGACAAACAGCATTGTTGTGATTGCAATCCTAGGAATATATTCAATTTAGGACTATAACACGGATTTCGTGTTTGCGCAGGCCACCCAGGATGTAATAGATCAAANTTACATCAGCCATAGCGTAAAAGGACAAATATAACACTGGACACAAAAACAAAACAATCATAAATTTGTAATTAAAAAAAACAACACCATCTAAACATAGTTAAAACATAACCAGTCCCCTCTAATAACTATGATCTAAAGAATCGATGGTCGATCCAGCTAGTTGACGCACCCCCTTGAGAACACGGCATCTTTTAACACGTGGCACCAAGTATATCTTGTTGCTACTCTAGAGTTGATACTTTAAGACCAGAAGTCATTTACAAACAATTACTGCAAGTGTACGAAACGATAAAGAAAATCAACAATATAAAATCTTCTAAACATTGACTATTCGAGCCCGTGTAATTATGGACATTTCATGCAAAAGCTACAAGTCCACCCATACATACTCTATATGTTTCACTTCAGCCTCGAAAATGTTTATTCTGATCAGTTTGTTACATTAGCGATACAAACGTTCCTGTTACCACCCACAAACTCACCATTCCAGTCAGCGTGTCCAAAGAAATAATATCCACCATGACCAAAGTTGACAAACAGCATTGTTGTGATTGCAATCCTAGGAATATATTCGATTTAGGACTATAACACGGATTTCGTGTTTGCGCAGGCTACACAGGATGTAATAGATCAAAGACGAGTGCGAGTGTTTCATCAGGGCCAGGGGATCCAAATACCGAGGAATTGATTTATCTGTTTCTAGGAGTTTGGATTCCCCTGATGAAACACGAAGCACGAGTTTTTGATCTGGCTTCTCAAACAAACTAATAATGAATGACTCATTAGCAATAAGAAGTATGTTTAGAAAACAAGGGAATTTGCATGATTTAATTCAATTCATTGTGAAATTTTCGTATATAAGACTGGCTTCAGCTGGACAATGTTGATTTGGAAGGAAATACCTTCACCAATTGTGAAATGAAATTCTATATAATTAAAGTATAATAAAAAAAGTATATGAGAAGTTGTTCCATAAAAAAGTAGCTTTCTACAGTATTCGTTGTTAGTTGACTGTCCATTTATGCGTGAATATTTGTAACTAACGCAAATGCATTATTTGAAACTAAATGAATGATTAATGAATGACCATTAGAATCAAATCATAATATCCAACCAATTCACAAATAGCTTAGTTGGTAGGTCTTTGGGATTTCATGCGAGAGGGCAAAGGTTCAAGTCACCGGCAAGGATGAAAAAAAGTTATTTCACGCGAGGCTCGAACCCACGGTTTGTAGTTCGACGCTGCAAGTTCATAATCGAAAAAAATGATCCTGATGGGTAACCAGTGGTGTTTGATACTCTCATTTTGACCAATCACAGCGCGTGTTATGCCAATTATTTAGAAACCAAATAATTCTTTCTACTCCTACTCGCTTCATTCCCTATCGGAGGCTTTGTGATTTCAAGCAACACGAAAGACTACCTTAATTTATACAATATTTGGTATATTACGCGATCTTGGTTGAGAATCTGTGTTATAAAGTAGACGAGAACGAATGACGCCATTAAATTTTACGTGCGCTCTGATTGGTCAGAAAATAGTTAGTAGTCTCCCTCGACTAACTATGGTCAGAACCAATGCACACACTCTGTTGTGTTCGTTTCAATCAAATTACGCGTGTTCAAGAAAAAATATCAGAAGAAAATTAAATACTATATTAAACAATTTTTTCCTTACGTTTTTACTCCAATAGATACACAGAAGACGTCAAAATGTGATGAGAACAAACAGTTACGCAACTCGAAAATCGTCTTGTGACGTCATTGGGCAGAATGACATTTTCAGAATGACATTTTCCGATTGCTTGACTCGGGCCGAAGCGCAAAATTTGAACGTTAGGCCCAGGTGAACACATCGATTTACAAAGAAAATGACCCAAAACATCGGGTAAATAAAAATAATATAAAGGAACCTACTCTTTTTTGTTGCTGTTTTTAATAAAATTCATTGTAACACAACAACAAAACACGATCATAAGAGATTACTATAAAGAAACCAACTGTTTTTAAGTTTATTGTAACACTGAACAGATTTAAAAAACACCGAACACAGAGATTATTCAAAAGGTGTTGGGAACTAGCAGTAAAGTAGTGTGAGGTGCGCCAGAGTTTCTAAAGAAACAGTTCTGTAAAAAGATAAATTTAACACCGTAAAAATGTAGGAAAAACAACTTAATGACGTTTCGGACGTTAATCCTTCTTCGGAGTAAAGAGATGGAACTAGGTATAGTGTGAGTTTATATAGTAAGAGTAGCAAAGAAAATAGACCAATAGGAGCAAGGTAGGCATGGTAACGAGAAATAGACAATTAAGGCAAAAGATGTGTTAGAGAAAAGAACAAGAGAGGTGCTAAAAAAGAGAACAAAAGATAATAAAATTATCTGAAAACAAAGCGTTCATTCAACCCATTGAGATTAAAAGTGCGGATAAGCCGCATTTCTTTGGTTTTGCGACAATCATTGTTGCCGCAAAGACAAACCAAAAACAATGAAGTTAGAATTAGAATGGTTGGGTAGATTAAAATTTCGGAAAACAGATTTATTAAGATCGTTACGACGAATATAATAAAGATGTTCACGGATACGTTAAGAGATTACTTTATATTCTAATGGTCTTCAAGTGAAAAAGATAATTGTATAAAAAGTCAAAGCTTTGCTAGTCGTCACAATGCAATTAAAATAACGTAGTTGCTGACGTTGCATTGTTTGATGGTGTAACATTAGTCTCAGCCAATTAAAGATGAGCGTATTGTTCCGGAATCCTTTAAGTAGCAAGACACTTAAATATCCACTTCAAATCGTGTAACCATCGTTCCTGAATATACAACTTATAT